CCGTGGCCACTGGCCTGGTCCTGGTGGCCCCACACGACATCCCACCGGGCTGGAGGTGCCTGTGGTGCCACCGAGCATCCTGCTGCAGGGAGATACAGCCTCTCCCCTGCTCTTATCACCCGCCTGCAGCTGCCCGAGGGAGGGGAGATGCAGCAGGTCTGGTCGGGGCACTGGAGGGACTCACACATCCAAGTGCTGGATGAGGCCACGCGCCACCGGCAGCACCAGGGCATGGGAAGCGGTGGCCAAGAAGAGGGGAGGTGGAAGCTCTGGTTCCCCCCGTGCCCCAGAGAGGAGAAGGTGCCAGACCCCCAGCAGTGCTCCCCAGGCCCCCCAGCCCCTCTGGACTTAGATCTGCTCCATCAAACAAGCTGGAAGTGCTGCGTGAGCCCAGGCCAGCCACGAGGAGATCAGGGCTGTGGAGAGCAGACTGAAGACCTTCAAAGCCATCCAAACCCTCCTTTCCTGGAGTCAGCCTGCAGGTAAGTGCCTGGATGCTGTGTTTTCCCCATCATTCCTTCTGCTTCTTCATCACCTTTAAGCAGTCTCTGAGTTTCGCAATTTCCACTTGCAACAGGGATTCCTGCCTCCCCTCCTGCTGATTTCCTACAGACATGCTTGAATCCAGGGTGGAGGGAGAAGAGAATGAGACCCTGCCCAGCGAGGTGGAGGAGATGAGTGGAAGAGGTGAGTTTTCAGAAGGGAAAAGGAGGGGGAACTGTCCTCTGTTGAGGAGAAAAATGTGTCCTGCTTCTTTGTGGAAGATCTATTTAGGATCAGAGCACGTGGGGCTTGTCCCAGCCTGGCTTTGCCATGGGGTTGAGACTTGGTGGCTGCAGCACCCCACAGCTGAATTCCTCACGCTTACGTGTAGACCCACCACCACCACCACCAAAGACACCTGAGCTGCATCTTTGCCCCTCTCCATTTCCTACAGGAAGAAATGGGAATGTGGGGCTGTGGGATTTGGGGTAATGTTGTCCACAGTCTGCACTAGTTTGTGCCCAGGTGCGCAGCACTAGAGACACCCAAGCTCAGGTCCAGGTATCTAGAGGGCAGAGGTGCACCCTCCTTCAGGACACCGAGGTCTCCTTGGCCAGGGATCACATGGAAGCTCCTGGATCAGGAGCAGGGCACCACTGAGGCTGGGGCAGTCCAGCATTTGTGGGTTTCCCACCCCACGCTGGACATCTCTGGCGAGGGGAAAGGAAATCGCCGTGTCCCTTCTCTTGCTGGGATGGATGCAGCCCCTGGGGCCGCCTGTCCTGAGCATCTTCTCTTCCTCTGTCCCCAGCCAACGTGACCCTGGACCCGGGCACCGCCAACCCCTTCCTCATCCTGGCTGGTGACCAGCGAGGCGTGAGCCGTGGGGACGAGTGGACCTGGGTGCCCGACACGGCCGAGCGGTTCGACACGGAGCCGTGTGTGCTGGGCAGCCAGGGCTTCGCCATGGGGAGGCACAGCTGGGCCGTGGCGGTGGCCGAGGGGGGCGACTGGTGGGGTCTGGGGGGGGGCCGGGACTCTGTCAGGAGGAAAGGGGTCCTCGGCTTTACCCCCCAGGAGGGCATCTGGGCCGTGGGGCAGTGGTTTGGACAATACTACGCTTTCACTGAGCCCGACTGGACCCCCCTGCGCCTCCCCTGCCTCCCCAGGGCCATCCGGGTCTGCCTGGACCTGGACTTCACAGACAGGCAGGTGGCATTTGCTGATGCTGAAAACAAAGCCCCAATCTTTGCTTTCTGCCTGGATTCATGTCCTGGGGAGAAGCTGCGCCCCTGGCTCTGGGTGGGGATGGACTCGTGGCTCCAGCTGTGTCCCTGACCTGGATAAGTGCATGTGGAGGACCAGAGAGGAGAACACCAGCGTGTGGAACTGAGAGCACCCCGTGTCCTGCCAGCTTCTCCCCACATGGTTCCTCTGGCCACCAAGTGGGAGGACCAGCAGGTCTTGGAGATGGGCACCACCACCCTTTCCAGCCCGCATCTGGGACTGCAGAGATTTGATGAAGGATGAGCTTGGTGCCAGGCAGCCCAGGCCAGAGCAGTGGCATTGAGTGGTCTGTACAAGGCCATGAGCAACCCAGCAGGTTCAGGCTCCTCTGCAGGCGCCTCTGGCTCTTTTCAATTAAGCTTAATCATTAAATTAAGAAAACCCCAACCCAGCTGGATGCTGGAGCTCCTGATAACAGTTATCTCCTCCATACATCCAAAGCCTCTCCTTACTTCCAGTTCTAACACGTGCATTAAGCCCATTTCTTGCAGCAGAACACTGGTAAAAGCTATGGGGACAGCCAAAGAAGTTAAGAAAGGAATTGAGAAGTGTCAGAAGCCACAGGCCAGGCATTCCCACAGAGCTGCTGTGCTCTGATCTCCCCCCATCAAGTCTCCCCTTCTTCACACAGCGTAGACTAAACTATACTAGTTCAGGTGGAAGGGATCAGCAATCATCTAGTCCAACTGCTTGACCACTCCAGGGCTGATCAAAAGCTAAAGTATGTTATGAAGGGTATTGTCCAAATGCCTCTTCAACACCGACAGGTTTGGGGCATCAACCACCTCTCGGAAGCCGGTGCCAGTGTTTGAACACCTCAGTAAAGAAACGCTTCCTAATGTCAAGTCTGAACCTCCCCTGGTGCAGCTCTGAACCATTCCCAGGTGTCCTGTCCTGGAGGAGAGCAGCACCTCCCTCTCCATGTCCCCTCCTCAGGAAGCTGTAAAGGGCCACAAGGTCCCTGTCAGCCTCCTTTTCTCCAACCAAGACAAGCCCAGAGTGCTCAGCCAGGCCCTTCAGCTGCAGGTCTGCTCCAGAACACTGGCATTTGGGGAAGTGACATTCAAAGGACACGGGACTGCAGGAGGTGTTCGGGCTCCCCATCGCACCATGGTAAAGGGACTGCTGGATGCCTGGGTCTCTGCCCTGAGGAGTTATATGTACCTACCCCGGGTGGGCATCCTGCCCCACACCACCCTGGTGCTGGTCTTTTGGAGCCACCTGCACAGTGTGTCCATCTTCAGCTCCACTATGAAAGCTTCTGCCCACTCCGCTGGGGAAGGGCTGGAAATGTGCCCCCAGCATCCCAGGAAGGCAGCACACGGGACCCACCATCAGCCTGGCTTCCCGAGGCCCCTCCATCTCCAGTAACTACACAACAGCCCAAGGTTTGTCTCACTTTTATTGACTCAATTGCACAGCCCGTTTCCCCACGACACTGGAACATGGCAGGTCAGAGACGCTGATTTCCCACATCCATGAGCTGAACATCTCCTCTGGGAAGGAGGAGAAGACCCCAAGAGTCGCGACTGGGTTTTGCAGGGGCACATGCAACAACTCCAATTATTGGCAACTACAATAAAGACGACGAAGCTGCAAGTGAAGCCATGGCCATGCAGCAGCACAGGGCCAGGCCCCTGCTGCCCCCAGCCAGGGACTTCTGGCTTTCACAGTTGCATATTTGGATCCACAGTGAGTGGATCACAGTGATCCACGGTGAGAAACACTGGCTCCGTTAAGTCCTTACGAGGGGAATGTGGTCTGGGAGCGTGCATCCTTCGTTACCTGCCAGAACTAGACATGGTGCAAGACCAAGCTCCTGGGAAGCAGCCAGGGCTGGGAAGTGAAACTAAACCCCCACATTTCTCTTCACTGGGAATGTCCTGGTGCCACTGGGTTTCCTGGGGAGCTGCTGAAGGAAGGAGCACCCAGGACAAGGCACAGAGCAGTGGTGCAGCTCCACTGCCAAAGGGTGGTGTGTGTGGAGGTGGGAGCTCCACCGCACAAGCCGATTCGAAGCAGGATGCTGCTGCTGTGCAGGGACTGTAACTGCAGCTGGGCTGATGAGGTCCCTCTGCACTAGAAACCTCCAGGAGCACTGGGGGCCAAGTCATCCCTGCATGACATGGAAAAGGGAAGGGGCCACGGGTATGTGGCAGAAGGAAAGAGATGGGCAGGGAGGGTGGCAGAGAGGAGGTGCACAGCCTGGCTGTGGCAGCAGACATTCACCCTGTGATCAAACAAGACTCTCATGCTCAGAACAGACACCAGCATGGATCAGCCCAAAGCTGGGCAGAAAAGCTGCTGCAAGATGTGCTGGAAGATCACTGAGTTGCATGAGAACCCTGGGACAGGAGATGGAGAAGAAGAGCAGATGCAGAGCAGGCCCCAGGGCTGGAGCAATCCTGTTGGAAAAGAGAGGACACTGGTCCCTGCTGCTTGTGCCACCAGTGACTTCCAGCCCAGGTGTCCTGGGTTCAGCTTAAACCACGACACCAGGGAATACGTAAGGAAAAGCATCCTGCTTTGCAGCTAGAGAGGAGGGGGAACGGGATGTGGTGCTTTGAACTCAAGAAATGACAGGTCTCCACCTAACAGGGCATTGGACTGACTCACTTGTGCCCAGCAAAGGAGCAGAGGGACACTGTGTGACTGCATCACCCACTGAAGGACATGGGCACCTTGGAGCCTGCTCTCTTGGGGTGTTTCACTAGAGGACACGTAACAGGCAGAGCACTTCCAGGGATGATCCCAATGACAGTAACTCCTCCAGCTGCTGCTGAGGAATGTGCAAATGAAGCACAGAGACAGCCAAGAGCACCCGCATCCTGCCAAGCAGCTGCAGTGACGGCCTGTCCTGTGAGGGGTGTGTGTAACCAGCACTACGAGAGGTCCAGCCTCAAGGTGGTGAAAGGACATCAGCAAACAGAGACTCCAACTTGCCTCTTTTGGGGTCAGGAAAGCTCCTTTTGGAATCTTAAAAGCAGAAGGCAATGATGGGTTTAGCACGTACGAGCCATCACTTCCCACCCTCAGACCCTCCATCTACCTTTGCCAGACACAGCAAGAGCTGAGGGCATCCGAGTCCTGGGGATGAGCCAGGATCCGCAAGGAAAGTGTTCTGTGAGATCACGTCTGCACAGGAAGAGCTCTTCTCACTTTGAAACGTGTTGTGAAATTCTCAGAATTCCAGGACTTTCACAATACAACCCGGCCCCTCTCAGTATCACGTCATTTTACTCCTTCTGGGATTATAACAACTCTTAAAACCACACAACTTTCTAGAAAGGACAGAAACACCACGACAGAGACCAGAGGAACAGGAAAGGCTGCTGCAGGATTATCAAAACCAACTTAGTGCAAAGGAGAAGGGGACTTTGAAGAACATTGATGAAAAGTGTTCTTTGTATGCTCACTTAGAGAAAAGGCATAGATTTAACCTCTGAATGAGATCAGGCTGCCAGCTTCTAGAACTGAAGCTTAGAACATCAACACAAAAGGACTGAGACACAATATGCATGGCCATTAAAAAATAATATTATATATAGAGATATATATATATAGAG